AAAAAAAACTTGGAGGATCAAATTTGACACGATTCCAATACTTTTCCGTTTTATATACATACCAAGTTGGTAAGTAAAAAGGAGTCGGAGTCGGTGGATTTTTTGACGACTCCGACTCCAACTCCGGCTAAAACACCAAAACTCCGACTCCACAGCCCTGGTGAAAACAAGTAAAAATGAATATAATAATACACAACGATTCACTAATGTCTATAGATTTATTCAATATTTCAAAGAATTGCTTGTTGCATGTTTCATTAAAAAAAGTAAAATAAAATAAAAAGTAAAAATAAATTAAAGACAAAATTATTAGACCACCCTAAGGTAAGGACATAATTATTAGACAATCTTATCTAAAATCTGGTTGGACCTCCTTTTGTTTCCAAAACAGCATTGATCCATAATGGCATTTGTGAATTAAATTTTGGCACACCTCAGGAGATATTTCAGACCAAAATTGTTGAATTGCATTTTTCAATTCTTCTTTAGTACCAAGGTAGCCTTTTCTGATTGTTTTCTTCACAACAGTCCATATGTTTTCAATTGGTTCTTCAACTGTATAAAGTAAATTATTGCTTAAAATGTCACTGAATGCCACACCAATCATTGTTCCATTGCAGACGCGCATTTTTTCTACACCATATGATGATATGCATACCTTCACAGATAATGGAAATTTCACAGCCTTCTGGAGACATTCATTTTTAAAGTTCTCTTCAGGTTGTTGCCAAACTTTAGTTCCCACATTGTCACCATATCCTAGGCAAATACAATTCTGGTCAGAGAATGTAACTTGGTTCCAGTCATTGGTGGTCTAATATTTGTGTTCATTTGCCCAGGCCAACTGGCATTTTTCTCATCATGATGTTAAAAAAGGCTTAGTTTTTGTTTTACATGAGGAATAGCTAGATTTTTTGGATTCAGGTACCCAGATTTAGACTAGCTGAAGCTAATCAGACCCTATATCCAATCTAAGACTCGACAAGTCATGGGTTGAGGATTGTGAAGTTGAATGAAGTTGTTTTGGTTATTGAAATGTAGCTATCACATGGTCCTGACTGTTTGTGTAGGTGTGTTACCCAGAAGTTACATCTAAACAATTCCAACTGGACACTTGGTCACTAACTTGCCAGGTTCCTTCCATACAGAGAGGAAGTGTGACACAGTTGTAGTATTTTTTTCTTTGTCTTGTTCAAATGTTGCTGGATAAGTTTTAGACTTGGTAAGTGCTTATTATTTTCTTTATCCTATCTTTATGGTTAAAATATACAAATAAAACATACAAATTTTGATTTGTAAACTTTAATCCTATTGATTGGCTCTTAATTGAATGATTACAGACTTCAAAACAGAAAATGACTTCCAAATAAGTGAGAACAGTAATGCCCAGCAAGGAAAAAGTGACTAAACAGTGACTGAAATAAAATTAGTTGGCCACAATGATATACATTATTGTAATAAGTCAAGTCCAAATGTTATTTTATGTTTATGGATTTTGTTTCACTTGACATTATAATTTCGTTTGAGAACATTTTCTTTTGTTTAAAAAGGACAATAACTTATTTTCATTATTAACTAATAGTAATTACAAATAAAGCAATTATACTTTGCAATTATGACCAGAAAATACCACAAATCATGCTTCTGGCTATTGGCGCTGTTTGCCACAGCAGCATAATTTAGAACTAATGCTTGCACAGGGGGTAGACATTCATGCGCATTTCTTGCATGTTTGCTTTAGCATAAACATTATTGCAATTGTAAATTCTGGTCCAAAAAGTTTGTTTTTGCATGTTTTTTCCTCTTCTCACATTTGCATAAATGCAACCTTACAGCAAAAACTCATTTAGACTTTAGTCACTGGCAAAACTGGAACTTGGGAATTTCCAGTTTTGTTTTCAAGTGCATCATATCCAAGTCAGTTGACCGAAATTAGAGAAAGGGATTATTAATTATCCTTTAATATATCTGTATATTTTGATCTGTTCTTTACTCGGTTTCTTTGTTTTTTGTAGAACATAACCATAAGCTAATAAGAACCAAGTTGGTCAGCCAGTTTGGTAATTAAGCACGGGAGGCATCTATTAGAAGATATATAACATGTCTCTCGTAAAAAAAATTGAAAGAAAAAATTCACCTATATATTTACTGTTCTTTCTAATGAGTAATTAAAATTTTACAAATTAAAATTTTTAATTGGTTAAAACTGTTAATTAGAAAAAGTTTTCAGAGTCACAGAATTATTAAAGTTTAAAACAAGACATTTCATTAAATAAAAAAAACTAGAGACAGAATGTATAACTTTTCCAGCGAAAACACAACAACGTAATAGAACAAATTTAAAATTAGTCTGCAATGAGATTTTGTTTAAAAACAATTTTTATACTATTAATTACAAAACTGCAAATAGTTTAATCTTGAGAGTAGAGACAAGTTTTATATAAAATTATAAATGCTAATGAGAAATCTTCATGAAGTCTGATTCCATTTGAGCTGACATGTGATCTCTTTCTATCTATCCACTCCTCAATCTATAACCACCAAAATTTAATAGCATCAATGTCCTTTATACACCTGAGGCCTGATATTATGTTATAAATAAAAATAATATTTGCAACACTATNAAATGTTTTAAATACTTCTTATTTATTTTAAAATTGTTTATAAATAAAAATAAAGAATTGTTAATATTCATGGCAATATTCCCTGTATAAAAGTGAGTCAGTCAGTTTTTAAAGGTCAGCAAATGAGTTTTAAAAAAATAAAAGGAAAATTTTGATAGGAAAATGAAGTTGAAAGAACTTTCAGCAGTGAAAGTGAAGTAGAAAAGAAGTTAAAGCAAAAAATAATAATATTTTTCTCACTCTTTTGTGTTACAGATTGATTAATGTAGTCATTATTAAGAACATTAATAATAGCCAATAAAAATTAATTACAATATACTAAAGACATCAAATGTGTGGGACTATTTCACAGAATGTGTAAGAAACCAAGTCCGAGTGTTATTTTTTAGTTATTTTTATTTTTGCTTTTATTCTATTTTTGTTTGGGGCTTATGTTTTGTTAGGACAAATTACTTTATCAGGTTGTTCAATAAGTTTTGTTGTTCGATAAGAGGTTGCGCTATTAGGATCGTCACTTTATTTCTCTATAAATAGTACTACTATTTCATAAACACGTGCCAAGTTTCAAGTAGATCCATCAACTCATTGTATATTTGCAGCTGTTCAAAGTTGACGTGTCACTGTATTTTTCCTCACCACTCACCTTAGAAACTTAAAAATAGAAGAGAAACCAACTCACTGACGAGAGAAAAGCGCTTTAGATAAAACTCGCACACACTTGCGCTCCTGAGCAGAAAAAAGTAAGTCCTCACCAAGAAAGGGGGAGACCCCACAAGCACAAACTTAGGAACTTGCTAAACCTTACAGAATAAAACATCCCGAAAATTGTCAAAAAGAATAATGTAAAAGGTTAGTGAGTATTGTCAGAAAATAGAATGCCAGGCAAACAAGAAAAGTTTATTATTAGCAAATAAGTATGTAAATGAGAGGAGTGATCTCACTCAGAATTGTGACATCACCTCACAGTATAAAGACCGAACCTCAAGTGAAGATGATCAAGGTGAGCTTCTGTTAGTAACGAGCGTGGTGAGCTTCTGTTAGTAACGAGCGTGGTGAGCTTCGTATCAACAAATGAGAGAGA